CATTGACGCTGCAATCTAGCAAAAAAAATTACGCAACATTATTTACAAGAACATAATAGCACTGATTGACGCTGCTGCCTCTAGCGAGAAAAAATCGAACAGATTGCCCCATATATAAAGACTTTTATGGTCCTAGGAACATAATAGATCACTTCTGTGTCGAGTGTTGACGAAAATAAAATTCAAATTATGGACAGCTTTAAGATGAAATTTATTTTTGTATGTACAATGTTCATCTCAATTAGATCGTTTTCCGGATTGTGCTCGGTTGCATCGCCGTTTTATAGAAAAACTGCGGATCAGACCAAGTGCGAATGACTTTCAAGGAGCTTATGAAGCTGATTTGATTTTCCAATTTTATTCTTGCCTCATCAAATTTTCTTGAAAACATTTAAAAACTGCGCCGCATGCATCTGTTATCAATATTTGAAACAATGTTAATCGGATCTGACGGGTATGCTTCGTGGAGTATTTTTTTCACTTCAAACAATAAGGGCCAATATAAATTCCTCTTCCACCGAACTCAGACAAGAAAAAACAGAACAGGAAAACCGCGCAGGCATTTCAAGATGAGAATACAATAAAGAAGACCATCAAGTATATAAATAAGTTTCCTGACGAACGTTTAGACAGGTATGTAACAACTTCAAAACTCCGGTAGTATGTCTCAGATATGTCAATATAAATTATTCTGCGACAATATTTTCCAGTAAGTATCTAAGGAATAACGGACCGACAATTAACTTCACGCCAAGAATTCGTGTAATAATATTTTAACGATTTGGACGAGCGTTTATAACTCAAACGGTTTTACGGCCTTTTCAAACCTTGCAAATAATTATGGTTTTTGATCTGGCATTGGAACATAAGAAAATAATGACCAGAACATTACTGAACTTCTAGACGGCTTTTTGTTCAGTTTCAAAAGGACTGACCATCAGTTTTTGATTCGTTTTAATGATGAAAATGAGAAGGGACAATGTAGTACCTATGTCATTTTTCTCAAACAGGAGGTGTTTATTAAAATTTGTTGAAACACTGAATTTGAGCTGTAGTAGAAGAAAAACGCAAAGTTAGGTTTTCAATTAAGCACTAACTGACGTCACACATAACCTCACTTTCGATGGGGGGGGAAAAAACAAAGCGTTCAACAACCATTTACACCTATTAGTTCTGTACCTTGTTCCATATCAGTGCCGATAATAGAAAACGTCATGTCTGAACAGGTAACAGGTTCATTTGAGACTAACATGCTAACAAGGATATTTTATTATTTATTGACACTGAACTGACCTAGCATTGATACGAAAATGATGTGTGTGAATAGTCCTTAAACGCTTTGTTTGTCCCCCCATCGAAAGTGAGGCTATGTGTGTAACGTCATGTAATTGTTTTCGAATAGGAACTTACAACCAGCAAAATACGTCTAGGTATAAGTATTTTGTTCACACGGACAGTTGCTGTTTCCAAAAATGTATAGTCATTTCAAGTTTGCTCATTAACCAGATTTATGTTATGTATTACAGTGGAAATGTTCTTGTCTTGTACAAAGGCGAAGTGACATAAATGAACTTGTTCATAATTTTATATAGTAAAAGCTACCAATAGTCGATATAAGTATTTTTTAGTCATCACCATGTTTATATTATTATATTCTCATTATAATATTATTTTCAGTGCAATTTATAATAACATTTCCAAAGCATCTTGACCCTATATTAGATTGCATTAAACGAACATCCCGAGCTTAATCTCTTACATAATGGTATTAGACATTATACAATTAAATCTAATGGAATTATGTATTATACGTCCTTAAACCTTTTGCAGGTCTTCATCTAGCACAAAATGAGATTCAAGGAAGTTTTATGAACTTGGGTTTGGAGAGAGATAATCGCTGGCTGAATCTCAGTCACGACCTTCCTCACGGCCCACTCGAAAGGCGCGCGTGCGTGGTCACGTTATGCTAAAATGCCGATTTATATTACCTACAAATTTCAATTTGCATCGGTGCACGAATTCAATTAGGTCTCCGGGACGGTACTTACTTGGAATAACTAGAATCTGAAATGTCAATTGTCGACGAAAGTAAGATAGATTTGTTGATGTTCAAAAAGATCTTATCTGACCTTTATATCTAGATTTATAGGAACTTTTGTTTTTGGTTGTGGTTTTGATATAATTAATACTTCTTTTACCGTTCTTGATTCTCTTTCAATATGTATTTTCATATTCGGAGAACGTTATTGTTCCATAATTTGGTTTCTCTCAGCTCTAAAGTTTATTTCTATATGGATGCTCTGAGTAACCTGCGACAATAACCTGTGTCGGTCGGTTAATGCAAATGGCTCATCCTATAAAAAAAAAAAATTTTGAAGGAGATTAGTATTTATCATCTGTCAAGACTTTGAAACATTCCGCTAATGTTTCTCATATTTAGCCAGCCTGAAATATCCGCACAAGAGGTTAATTAACTCCAGGTCATTATCAGAAGAGAAGTCATCCATCATAGCCGGTAATTAAAATATGAAAATTGCGCCAATTTGCGAATTTCCTCTCGTAAAATCAGATCTCTCCATATCTGAGAATCGGGAACACCATCACCTCGTCCTAGTGTTAATTATACAATTGGTGATGCTCGAATGATAAAAGGGAATTGTAATTTCTCGCTTGTCAAAATTATTATGATAAGAATCTTGCTTGGAATGGAATTGCAAGACGTTATTGCGTTCGCAACTTTGGCGCGGGAGTTGATTTGATATTATTATTCGACGAGATGAGGGCTTTGCTTTAAAAAAAAAATATGGCAAACACATCTCACAATCCGCGTAGCTAATAACCAGGATATAAAATCATAATTAGCACGTACTATAAATTCGCTAATGGCAAAACTAAGTACCGCAAAATAGTAATAATCAGTAACAATAAAACAGATTATTTCTATGTGCTTTGCATATACCGCTACCACATATTTCTGCATAAGGAGGTTAATTTGTGCATCTAGAACTCAAACCACCCATCGGCTACGGTTTGCGTTTTTGTTTTCGGGTACGACGGATGATTTACGTGTTTTGATGTGGAATCGACTTGCACGAACTGGGGAAAATAAATCAGCCACACTCGCAATTGATCCGATTAGGGAAATAAGACGTTTGTAGATGAACAAATTGATTTCAATTTACTGTTAGCAATTTGTTGCGTGGATTTTAGGCCATAATATGATCTGCAAGATTGTTTGTTGCTGGTGCTGGCTTTTTTTTAGACATGCTTGCATTATGCTTATGGAATCGATCTCGCGCAATATAAATCGTGAAAGTATTTAGCATTACTCACGTTGCACCTATACAAAGTACGCCCCTGGCTTAGTTTTTAATTATTTAGACAACTCTAGGGACAATATAAATTCCTTGAGTCAATTTTGCCTTTTTTGTTCTAAGTGTGGAGCTTCAAGAATTAATTATTCTCTTCCTATACCTATTGCAGTTTTAACTGTTGGCAAAGGCGCATTAAGAGAACAAGACTAAATGACGGTTATCACTGGGATGATTAATTTGCTATACGTGCACGTGCCATTCCACGTCAAAAATTCAATGATTAATATTACGGAGTTTAATAAACAGGGTTTAATTGTCCTAACGGCTACCGTAATTACTTGCGCCGTTTGAATAGGTTTGAAAGCTGACGGGAAATGGTTTTTGATTCATTGTCCACAAACAGCTAATGCTGAAAAAGGTGCTAAATTTAAACAGAATGTAACCTAATTATTTTTTGTAAATGCTTCAAAAATTACATTACAAACTTGACAACGACCATGGCAAATGATATTGTAGATATAATAACAGTTACTTTGGAACAGTTGCCATTCAGAACAATCCACCCAATTTAGGATCAGTTTATTGCAGTATCTATCAACAGTATGTTTTCGTGACGTACACCAGCTTGAAACCAAACTCTACGAGTTTCATAATGACAATGCTAGATACTAGATGGCTTTGTGATAGGCGGTTTTGGCAATCTTTCAGCAGAAGGCGTTTTGTGAGCTCCAGAGTGCCTTTTGTCGGCGTTGTGAAATGGATGTACTGGTAACAGATGGTCTCACCAATTCGCGGAAAAATATGCTTGTTGTGTGAAGGTATCTGAAGAAAATATTCAAAAAACCAGACTTCGTTTAGTGCGCAGCCCGATTGCGCGAGTAGCAAATTCAAAAAACACACAGAAAACCAAATCAAAATTTAAAGAGATCGGAACAAGAATAAGCTCAGAAAAAAAATCACCATACAGAGTGTAAAGTTGAGTTGGGTAGTTTTGACTCGAACTATCCACCACAAGGTAGGATTTTCAACTATCCGGCATTTTGGTAGCGGTGTGCAGCTCTGCGACGTGCCGGTGAGTTGTGTATAATATTGTAAAATCGAGTTTTGTTACCATGCGTTATGCGGCACCGTCACTGCGGTGTCGCAAGCTGTCTCTGCGGCGTGCCTTTGAAAAACTCCTATTTTTCGATGACAGCGCAGTAGTGTGCGATGCCCCATGATCATGTCACATGTAATATATATCCCCTTCAATTGCATTCAAAATATAGTAGAACAGGTCACGTGGAGCTCTCAGGTATGCTTCAAATTGAGTTTCACCATCATTCAAGTGACGTTCGATAAAAATGTTATAGGCTCCTTCTTGTGCAAGACTTTAATAAATGTTTGATATTTCACTGCGATTTTCACAACAGTGAAATAAAAAAATATTTGCCTGACATTTAAAAAACAAATTCGCCGCCAACAGCATGCGGGTTGCGATATCCGCAACATCGCAGTACCGCACACCGCTGCCGCATACCGCAATGCCGGATACTTAAAAATCCTTCCTTTACGGCATTTTTCGCAATAGCTTTACCAGCAGCGTTGTGTCTATGTGTAGTTTTATTGACGAAATAAAATTACATCGGTTGGTTTCATCAATGTTAAGTTTACTGAAGTCAAAACAAATTAATTGAGTGAACTTACCTTCACAATGAAAACCGTCTCCATGATATCCGGGAAAGCAGGTGCATGAGAAGCTTCCAAGCGTGTTAGTACAATGAGCAAATACGTCGCAGGGTCGGTATTTGCACTCGTTCTCGTCTGAAAAAAATAAAACATACTTTAAAAAACGGACATACAATCATTTGAGTTTACATTGCGCCAATCTCTCTGAAACCAGATACATTTTGTTTTAATTTAAATTACCCACTGCTGGTGATATAGGTAGAAACACAAACAACAATATCTCATGCACGCGCCAGTAGCTATCAAGCTACCGTTTTAACTTTCAAGCTAAAAACTCATATTCAATGTTAAAGGAAATCACGGAAGTGCAATTGCTTCAATTTTAAATTTTTCCTTACTCTAACGTATCAATTCTGTGCAAAAAGCTTAAACACGCATAATAGATCAAGCACACTACACAATCCCAGGCGATGACTGGGCACGAAACGTTTCATTAAAAGTTACAAAATACTAGTGCAGCAAGAAGCAGCAGCAAAAGTAAACCAGCAAAAACAAAATATTAATTATCTGGGTATATACGGCATGGTCCACTGTAGGAGGTCGTAACGGACATCTATGTGCCTGGCTCCCGCTGATCTAATAAAATTTGATCGAGAACATATCATTATGGCCGTCCGCGTACATTAGAATGATAGACGGACAAGGCGATCCTGCAATTTGCATTTTCAAGTCATCTTTTATAGCTTTATTTGAGAGGCGCTCTGCTACACTGTAGCATTGCGGTTAGGTTATGTAATGGTACGGTTATGCAAAATAGATCAGTATGGCTTACAATGTATGCTTAGCTATCAATCATAGTATCTAAGAAAATGTTCATACAAAATAAGTCAAATGTTGCAGCAAAAAGGATGCTCGACTTTACTGGATCAAAAGAATATCAATCATGTGCTTTACTTAAAGTGAGCGATAATAGAAGTGCATTTGTGTACTTGAGTGTAGGATGAGAGAAAGATTTTCTGGGCAACGGAATTCATGGATTGGAGGATCGAAACAAGCACTTCTTAGTGAACCATCCAAGTGAAGTTTCCATAGAATGAATATGCTACTGGAACTATGAAGTTAATCGGACATCCTGAATATCATCAAAAGATCTTGTTACAATTGTTTGTGATTAAGTTTCCGAGATCCCAACGGGTGACGTCGAACAACTGACACCTTATCACATCTTTACAGCTACAGTCGCAGTACAACGATGTTTTGACCATGTAAATGACTGGCATGACAAGTAGCGTCTCGTTCGTTGTCGTGAACTTGTCAAAACTCGAGTAACGAAAACGAAAAGAAAATAATCTTTGGAGGTTCCTGCAACGTTACCATAATATGATCTAATGCAACCATTTTAACTATGGAATAGTGGATAACGGTGATGAATAGATATTATAATGCCTAAGGGTTCACACTCTTTGGATCGAGACTTGCTCCATTCCGTTCAGTCATCATTGACTGCAGGGTCGTCCAGAGGGCCACATTTAGTCTTTGGGTATGTAGAAGATTTATCGGACGCACCTGGGGCTCACAACCTTACATAATTCCCTGGCTTCTCACAGCAGTGATGAGGCTAATGACCACGTACGGCAACTTAATTTGGTGGAACGCGGTTAGAAAATCCATCTACAGGTTAAAACTGGACAAGCTTCATCGATTTGCCCTGCATGGGTATAAATGGAGCCTTTAGAACAACCTGAATGCTGGCAATGGGGGCCATACTGGAAATAATGCCTCTTCATCTCTTTATGGAGGCACGAACCCGGGAGGGTTCTGTCAGACTTAACGATTGGGGATATAGAGGGCTGATGATGGGATATACAATGGCATCGACTGATACTATCCATAGGCGTATCCAGGGGGGGGGCCGCCGGACTGCCCCCCAAGGCAAGTCTAGACTATCTTTTTTTTCAGCTTATTTTATTGACATGTAAAGTTTTTGTATAAAAAAAAATAGAAATAAAATGTATTCCTTTCTATACTATGGCGGGCGCCTAATGCAGCAATGGAATCAGTGCTTCATCTTAATCATCTTGAATGTCCAAAATGCTTCCTTCCTCAGGGGCCCAAATCTCGTCTCAGGGAGTAGTGCAGTAGAGCTCCCCGATAGAACGCATGTTTTGTCCTTGTCAACGTAATCGGAAAGTAAAAGAGAATGATAAAGACGTAAAATGCGTTCTCTCGGGGAGCTCTACTCCCTGAGACAAGAATCGGACCCCAGGCTACTTATTCTTGAAACCAGGGACCAGCGTTCTCATGAGAACAATTGCTTTGTTTTTCTCAATGATATGCAAATGATAATATAAGTAACACAGACGGAACAGTTATTCTCATGGGAATACTGATCCCCTTTTTCAAGAATAAAGGCTCTGATCCTTATTCTTGAAACAGGGGAGCAGCGGTGTTCCGTCTTTCTCAGTGATATGCAACTGATAATATGAGTAACAAAGACGGAACACTCGTTCTCCTGGGAACGCAGCTCCCCGGTCTCAAGAACGAGGACTCAGGAGAGAAGGTGCTCCATGAACAAAATTTTTTCTCCTTACCAAAAAAAGCGAATAGGTAGTCGGATGCGAAAATTTTTGTCGCCCCGCAAAAAAAGGCCCGTAATACGATTTTTGACGCGTAATATTTGGGTATGTTACAGGTGAATTTTTGACGAAAATAGGCAACTTTCACATTTTTAAATTAATCTGTTAGTCATTCTGATAACATCTGTATACTTTTTTCCAAAAAAAAATCGAATTTTTAAACTGCTGCGAAAACGCGGAATAGGAAAGAGACGTTACTTTCCCAAACATGCGAGGATGCCAAATTTCTCATTAGTAAACCATTCCAAAATATGGCTGATAAAAAACCAATTAACTATTAACTACATGTACCTGGAATGGCCCGCCCAGCCTATCTATAAAATGATGCAAATTGAGATGGAGAATGTGGGGGATATCTATCTCTATTTACCTTATGGGCCAATTATGAAATCTTTCCTTGTCTAAAAAATCTTATATTTAAGGTTAGGAATATACACCAGGAATATACACCAAACATAACAGCAATGTCAATGAACTAAACTGCTGGACAAATGAAGTGGAACAAGGGAATTTTTAGTAATTTAAAACATAAATCCGCAAACCGCTCATTGATATCTTGTTTAGCTCGTGTATTATTGGAATTTAAAGCTAACCTAAACATTCGCTTGTTCCGTTTCATTTGTCCAGAAGTTTGGACGCACTGAGAGAGATGACAAATGCCATATCCGACAACGGTCGGGGCCATTCCAGGTACGTGTAGTTTATAGTTCATTGTAAAAAACTAGTCACCACCTATGACCTATTTTCGTCCTTTTCTATTTTATAAAAAAAAAAAGGATAGGTATAATCGGTGAACTCTAGTTACCTAGTAAAATGATCCTAATTCGTCATTTCTAATGTAGCAATAATCGCATGAATGCTTAGGCACATGAAAATGGACTATTGTGCGCAGCTTTTTTTTTGGCCGACCCTCTATGTTAACACAGCCCCCCCAAACCAAAATCCTGGATACGCCAATGATACTATCAGACAGGAAGGGGGTCCTGTCACTAGGGACTTTAATCTCGAAACCGAGGAACAGCGTTCTCATGAGAACGATTACTCTGTCATTGTCAGTGTTATGGAAATATGAATACGGACGACGAAGGCAGAATCTTCGTTCTCATGAGAACGTTGCTCCCCTGTTTCGAGAATAAAGGTCCAGAAGGGATGCAATACCAAAAACTCCAGCTCCCCCTAGACAAAACAAGGTTGTCATCGATTGGCTAGAGCCTGACCCAGGTTTCCTCGAGCCGAAGGGGCTCATCTGGTACATAGATGGGTCTCTGATGGGAGAGGGTGCAGGGGCTGGTCTATATGGCGAGATTTAATCTTGCATTGCATCTTGCGATACCAGACTGAGGTCTACGCCAAACACATGTGTGGTTACTCGGGCAACCATATTTATATGTGTAGCGACAGCACTCAGAGTCTTTTGCTGAGACATGGTCAACTTAAGGCACACGCTTGACTGTATGACAAACCCAGAATTATTCAGTGAGCGCAACAAGGTCGCCCTTGTTTGGGTCCCGCAACGAGAAGGTGGATGAATGCATCAAAGAGGTCTCAGACAGTCAAAGATCTTCATACAAGGTCGTTCAAACTGCAAAGAGGCAAAAAGCCTCCTCAAACTAAACAGGAACCAACTAAGAGCCATCACAGGCGTCATGACGGGGCACTGGGTGGTCAGATAACACCTGCGCCTGTATCTAACCATTAACCATTACCAGTTTTGAGATAACAAGTTTTTGATATGTTATGCTTAGATTCGCTCAACAAATCAAAATAAGGCCTATCGGTAGTGAATTTTCCAACTGATATTAAAGGGGGTGTGACCCTAAAAAACGACCGAAGCTACTTAGATCAAGAAAAATAATCTAAGATCTCTCGTGAAAACCGCAGTCCTATATTCAAAATAGTCTCCGAGAAAATTCCTTGTGATAAATTATGCAGGAACTTGTGACAGCACAACCGCCATAATCGCAGTCTTCTGTTTGTTCAGTCGTCAGTGGACCGTCCTTATACTTTGACTGGTTGCAATTCGCTCTAGTGAGATTTTTGTCTTTTGTTTTGCAAAATTTTTACATGTGTTTATACTGTGCCAGATAATTCAGTGTGACGTCATAAACGCCTAGTTGTAACTTTAAACCACCCTAACTCGAAAACGGACCATCGTAGCAAGATGCGGTTTAAATATTTATTCTTAGATTTTTTTGCACTTGAAGTTTCATTTTTGGGTAACACCCTCTTTAAGTTAAATGATTTTTCAGATTCTTACTTGGGCAAAGTATCATTCGACCCAGCTTCTATTTTATCTGTCAGAGCGCAGGCAGCTAACTTTCTCTGGGAATTGAATCTCAAATTTTTAGCATAATCCGAAGCACTTTTCCATGACTATCCTTAGTTGCTTCATTGCTCATTTTTAAGGTAATTTTATAATGTCTTCATTAAAAACAAAATATGGCGAAAGTATTTTTATTGCTCATTATCTAGGTTTTTCACAATGTCTTTATCAAAAACATAAATGGCGGAGGATTCATCTTTTTTTTTTTTTTAAGTATGCCTTGCCATCCTTGGTCCAGCAATACTTATATTCCTTTTGCTTTTCAAGTTCAACATTAATTTTTGTGTGTGTACTCGCGCCTGAATTATGGCGTAGCATACTGTAATCTAATTTTCGCTTTTTTCAAAGGCTCAGAAATTCATCTTGTAGACCGATTGTTGCAAATCTAACAACAACAACAATAAATCCTTTCTTCTTGTCTTTCTTATAGCACTCGGAGAGCTCGCTCTCAGAGAATTTACCACCAAGCAAGTCATTCGCCACCTCCTTAAAGGACTCTCGTTCTTTATTTGGGTTCCAATGATTTCAACATTGCAGGCATATTCCTTGGTTTCAAGTTCTTGATTTTTTTTTTCCAAGATTCCTTCTGGCTTCTTTCAGCTCCTTCGGGACTTTTTCATTTTCAGCAGCGATAATATCAAATTTCTCTCTCATAAAAGACACTGATTCCCTTGTTTTTTGAGATATAATTGAGATGCATTAACCTCGCTTTTAGCGCAATTCGAACATTTCACTAAAGTACCTCGAGAAGCACCTCACTTTTTTGCGCAACTATCGTGGTAATAAACAACCCCACATACACTGCATTTCACATAATCTACGACCTTTTTCTTGCAATAGAAATATATTTTGTCTGGAGTGCACATTATTTGATGTTAACATTCAAGCAACCTAGCCTCTAATGTAATAATATTCTGTCAGAGTGTTCAGTGCACATCCTTATTCTAAATCCTGTTCGATATTCCACCAAAATTGGTTTCAATAAGCTATAAAGACTTGGCATTCATATACAAAATATTTCACACGGCTCATCTCAGGTCACTCGGCTACAATAAATGATCTCCATTGTTTGAACGTCATTATCTCTACACTAACATCCTTTACGGTAAAATGATCGCCAGGCAAATCGGCGTCATTATCAATAACGATCTTCATATTATTCCCAATCGGAGATGCAAAGATATTTTTCCTATCAGTGACACGCAAGCTATGTGCCCCTTAATGGTTCCGGCGCGTTATTTTTGACAGCCGATCTTAGTTATGTAGCACCGAGAGTATTAGAAGTAACAAGTAACAATGAGGAAATGTCCGCGGTAGTTTTTTTAGTCATTGTTCTGACTGAAACATGAAACCTATATGCGGAGAGTGTTAGAAATACAATAGCTGTCGCCGTAACTTATCTTTTATAACGTTGCCAAGATTAAAAACCCGCCTACAGGCATTATAGAAATAAATCTAACTCGGACATCGGGGTAATATATCAAAATAGTTTGACGTTTCCTTTACATTAAATTGATATTGAATTTTCAATTGTTTATATTTTTTGTGCAATTTGGGTTTGGTTCAGTGCTCGTATAGGAAATTGTCGTTGCCAACAAGTTCTTTTGCAAATTGTTTCCAAATTATTCAGGATTCAGATAATTTCTAAGAAACTTCATTGAGTTTGAAATAAAGGGATCTAATTCTGATTTTATTCACATTACTAGTTCCTTTCTAGTTTATATCAAAATAAGAATTTTGACATGAAGGGATAACAATCACAGCAATTGAGCAGTTTTTGGCCAATCAACAACCGAACCAAATATCTTTTTGGGATTATCACTGTCAATGTGATGCTTAAATTGAAACTATAAAAGTCTGTATCGTTACATCTATGTCGACTTCCTTTAAGAGCAAGTTTCTTCTCAAATTTAATTAGCAAACCGTTTTAATATTTACTAAATCGATATATCAATCACACGCAACACGGTGAAATTTATTTTTCACAGAAATAATTACTCTTTTCATGTTTATCGATTTTCTGTGGATATTCATTTTCGTTTTTCTTTAAACATGCATAAGGCAAATCTGATCGTAGAAAAAAAAAACGGACCGTTGATTCTCATTATAACTTAATTATTCTAAACCTGAGCTATGATAAACAATCAGCGGGCTGAGATACACATATTATCTAGAGAGCTTCCTTTCTAAACCAGCAGGCAATTTAACAAGCACTAATCATCGGGTGGGTACTTACCAGGAACTTCACAGCTACATCCTCCATAACCGTCATTACAGTAACATTGATTGTCAAGACACGCTCCGTTCTGACATTCTGTACCGTCATCTTTTTGACAGTCGTCTGCAAAAGAAAATTACACATTACGGTAATTGGAAAATAACTATAATAACATTGAGCGGTGTACTTTGGTTCATTGATTTTGTAATTTTATTATCAATTATGCCATCATCTATAGGAGAATGTAAGAATGTAAGGTTTTGCGATATCAGCGAACAGAGGAGTACAAAGGGCACAAAAAAAACTAAAGATATATAATATGAAAAAGTCATCAGGGGCCAAGCGTGATTATGAGACTTGGAACGCAAGTGAAATAGTTACTATCATGTCAAATCATGTAAATGTAATTTTTGTTTACTGACATTTCAACCTCATAAATATTATGCAAAACAGTACCCGAATAAAAATAATTCTAAAACGGCTACTATATGTGCCTCTTTAATTATAATCTGCGGCGCCTATTTTTCGCCCACCATTGACACTGACATTATAGATCGGCAAGCTCTGGGAATTGCTCATAAAAAAAAAAACCGCGCCTACACATGACATTGTGCCTAATATGGCGGTTGTATGGCCGTTTACCAGATATAAGCGGAGATCACACAACCCAGATAAGATAAGACAAATGGACATTACTGACGATATGCCATAACACCTTTTATTGCCTCTTGCCTTTTTGTTTGAAGACATTATGATACTTCAACTTTGGGCAAGATATTAATGGTATCCACGAGATATCTGAGATTAGCATAGGTTAAGTACATTGAGAAAACCAACATCGAATTATTAAATCGAAACATTAAATGCGCAGAACAAAAGGGCAAAAGTCAGCAGGCAGTTCCACGGCACCAGCAACACAGAGCAAGATAGATTCCAGGGAGAGCATCGTCGAATTGTAAAATACAATAAAATAAAAAAAAAGTGGTCGCTCACGATTAGGTGTTCGTGAATGCTCTCTTGGTGCTTACGAAGAGACCTAGACCTTGTTAAATGCCATTAAATATATTCAAATATAAATCACATCTCGGTGCAGTTACAATGCACATAAAGGAAAACGGACGGCCAGTGGAGGGTTAGGGTTGTACAAAAAAATATATATATATAAATTAGGTCTTTTTGTAAAAATGTCACATTAGTATTTGGCACGGTATTAATGGGATGTTCGAATTTAGAGAATTTAAAAATTATGAGAAGAAATGTTCAATGAATTCTCCCAAGATTTACATTGCTTTCCGGAAGACGGCGTTTCTTGCTAATACCAAATTCCAAATATTAACATCGATGTTGACCAGCCCAGGGATTGAACCCGGGCCTGCATGGCAAGAGGCAGAAACTAACCTCTAGACCATAACGCCGATATATCGAACTTTAGAATGCATATTTTTGAAGAAGATTCATACAATCATATTGACTAAATTCCAAAAAAATAAATTCAGCTCATATTGCTTCGTAGTAACAAAGACAAGACAAGTACCTATACCGATACAGGTATTTGCCCAAGAACTACGTGCGCATATTAAAGTGTTTTCGCTACGAGATCAAACACGTTGAAATAGAAGACTTTTTGCTCATTTTAGTGCCACCAAGCAGCAAAAAAAAAAAGAAGAAGGCGAAAGAGCTTTTGCATTCTGCATAGAGCACGATGCATTGTACCTTGCAATGCATTTTCAAATACAAGCAGACACGCATCGATTCGTACTTTTCCTTTTCTATTTCGGATTGGCAAGCACGTCTCCCCCTTAGCTACCTTGGCCATTGTTCCGAAGGGGTACATGCAGAATATTAACATAAGCGGGGACATTAACGTTTTCGTTTTCTTTAGTTTTGTTGTTCCATCGAAACATGGGACAACAATCAGTGGCCGAGATGAAAAATCGAGATGAAGATCTGCTGAATCACCCTCTGTTTAGTTTACATGTACACAATTTTAATAGCCTTTATGTACTTATAATACCTAATCGACAGCCCTAAACGGGTTATGAACAAACAGAATGTGCCTCTACGTGAAATTATTTCGTGACTACGCACTTTGGTGATTTTGTACAGGGCGCTGGTCAAAATGTTTCAATAACGATTTTCAAGGTACCACTTAAAGGGAATTAACTTAATAACCTCTCTATGGTACTTTGGGCGTTATTAATTGATGTTGTTGAAGAAATTATTTGACGTCCCTTCCTGCATGGAATATTTAACTTTTTTCGAGCATCTTCCTGGGAATAAGTAGGTGTTAAACCATTGTTCAAAGATAATTGCACTAATCTATTTTCTCAAATACTATAACTACTGGTCTCTATAGGACAGCTCTTCGTTCGTGTTGATGTTGCATGTTTCGCGTAACAACCACATACTGGCATTTGAGGCGAGCGAAAAACACACCGCAGCAATTTACCTTAACGGCATTTCATGTGAATCCGAAAATCGCAAAAAGTACCGCATGTCTATAGTTCCGCGTTCGTGGGAGTACCACCGAGGGAAAAAAAGTCAGCGATAACATCTAATTTAATTTGAACAAACACAGATTTACGGCGTCTATTGGGGAGATACGAGCATTCAGATTAGGAAGTCTACGTGATGCTAGTATCTGACGGTGAAGTATTATGCATAGGTATTTATGCAATGCAAAATTTGTAGAAAAAAACTTCCAACTTATAATTTTAAACAGTTAGTTTACCACGACCTTTTCCTGTAATAAATAAATTTCTATAGGAAGACAGCCAGACAAGAACAATAACCAAATAAATTATGGCAAGATAAGTGCAATGTCTACGCCCAAGGTGTGCGCTCATTATAAGAAGAGGCTACTATATTTAGCATATTCTTTCCCCCAAGGGACCAAAAACATGGTGCAAGAATAATACACGTTCTGATTTTAATTACGAATATTATCCAGTGGGTGGTTTTACATTTGGCGTGTCTAGAGAAAGGACGTCGGCTATAGCGATTGCTTGCAGTGATTTGTAGTTTTATCTAAAAGTAAAAGATATTATAACATACTCTCGTTTTAAAATTAGTTATTTTCTATAAGCCAATTCAATCTAAAATCTTGAAAATGTTTGCATTTCAGGCTATTTATAAATATCCTGGCTATAAATGGAAAGAGAAAGAGTTATGCTATTTTAAATTATTCATGTTGCAACTAGTTATGAAGAAGCTACTTGCTTACTAAGTTATTGAATAAATTTAGAACTCACATCTATCTATTGGCTTAAACTCCAGTCTGATTTTATTGATATAATAATACTAATGTGAACTTTATAGTGAATATTTACTGAGATAGAGGGATAAATATTATTCAGTTCTGATTCACAGAATATAAAGTTTCTATATATGAACTAACTATAAAAACGAACAACTGAGGAATTTTTTGAAAGGACCCCGCACAAACCTTATGGGAAGGGCTTTTCTGTCGAATTGGTTCAAAATATGGGATTAGGTAGGGAATGCGATTTAGATCAAAAGTGTTCAGTGATATTTGGGATCAAAGTGACCAATACATATAAGATCATATACATTTTTAATATTATGACATATTTTGACTCTGATTTGACGTAATAATTTGTTCAGCATGTATAAAAATAGGTTGACAAGAAATATACAGCTAACAGCACAGTGAAAATAGATTTAAAAATTGGTCACTTTGACCCCGAAATTTGTGCCCCTGAACACTTTTAATCTAAATCACATTTCCTACCTAATCCCCTATTTTAAACCAATTCCGACAGAAAGGCCTTTCTCATTAGGTTTGTACAGGGTGCTTTCATGTGTCCAGCGATAAAATACTACTCGATAGCTGCAACAACGTGTGAACTACTTTTCTATAACATTTGTCCAATAATGAAATCTTCTAGGGATATTTGAAAATAACAATATTATATTTAATCTAGACCTCAGATATTTAGTAATTTGGAAATTTTTCCGACATAGTGAACCATACACCTGACCTGGAAAGATAGCACCTGCATGTGGCCCTTATATCCCTTGTCCAGGGTGAAGAGTGAGAAGCAGGACATCGTCCTAGAAGTGGCAATCTTTCTGCAACTGCTGAAAAGTTTACTTTTCTTGAGGTTGCAGCCAAAACAGATACACTTAAGAAACAGACATGATGGTGCCTGCTCTTCCCTACGATCTTCACTCCTCGTGGTCTGTAGCCTATAATCACTCCTCTCTTCTTAGGCCAGCACATAGTTCAGACGTAGAGCCAATAGAATAAGCTGTTATCCAAGAAACCGATATCCGATATTGCCTTCAGAATATTTCCAAACGGCCTTGTTCATACAAAGCAACTATCGTAATCAGAAAAACATAAATACACTAACCTATATTTAGCTAAGTTATTTATCAAAGATGAACCATCGTAAACAACCATTACGAACGAAAACCGAAAAAGAAAAACAATGCAACACGTTCTTAAGGGGATCGCATTAAGATAAAATGCGAAATTTTTTCTCATTCTTCATTCCCGACGACTAGTAGCCGGTCCGACGGGATTGATCGTAGATCTATATTACCATTAAATGTACATGGCCATGGCGGATTCCCTGTTAAATAAACTAGTTCACACACACACACACACACACACACACACACACACACACACACACACACACACACATGATTTTATCGGAGGCAGTCTGTTAAAACAACGCTTAACAAAGAAGCTACCCAGACACCGCCTCATCCTTGTTATTCTTAACCGACATAACTATGAACTATAAAATAAGTATATATTTACAAAAAGTCTTTATCCTTTTCAAGTAAACATAATACTAATATAGTAAAGGCTCCTTCGCGTTTCTCCAAAGATGCAGAGACTCGAAAGTCGTTCCGAAATTCCTGCAGATTCGAAGAATTTTCAAATCCTCCCAATCTAACAGAATTTTCGAACGAGTGGAATGAGCCTTGCTTCGGGAACGGATCCACCAAACAAGAAAAGACTAAGCAGCTATGGACAAGGATCTTCTATCGATAACCCAAAGGTTATCCAATAGCATGTATTGGAGTGACTGGGACAAAATTGACCGAATGACGTATGACGTGATGGAAGCCACACAAGCAAAAACAAC